GACAGAGGAATGAAGACAGGAGGCAGGGTCAGTAAGGGCTTCTAAGCTAAGGTGCCCTGCTGGGAGGGGGGCCCAGTTCAAGTGTTGGGAACCCCTTGGGCAAAGATGTGGAGATACTAGTTCATTTGTTCATTCATTCACTCATTCAGTCATCATTCATTTCAGACATAGTTTTCGTGAGCACCTACTAAGGGCCAGACAGAGCACTGGATGCTGGGTACTAAACAGCGGACTGTGGAGGGAGGAGGGATGTAAAGAAAATGTTGGCGTGTGTGGAATCTTCCTAGATGACTTTTTCTAACCAATAGATGCAGGAGAACGAGGCACAAGATTAAGCCCTATTGGTTAGCTGAGGTCAAAATAACCCTGAGCATTTTAATGCCTTTCTCCTTAAGCTAGTCAGGTTATTTTGTTCAGTACAAGGCTTCGATCTTTAGATATGACCGCCGGCCCTGACGTTTATACATGGACCTCTTTGGCATTTAAAAATGTTCTTTTTTTAAAACGTTACATTTTAATTAGATTCTTACGACTCTGTGAGATAAATGTAATTGCCCCATTTGGAGATGTGACTTACCCAGGATCACACAGCTGCTCACCTGGGATTCGGAAGTACCAATCCCCAACCAGAGGCGCAATGCCTTGGGAGAACCTGGGCAGGTTTTGCATGTTGGAAAGCATGCGTTATCCATCATGCCCTTCAGAATTCCTATACTGCTTGAGAGTCACCTGGCACTCCTAACACAATGGAATATCACAGCCTTTCTTAGGGTGAAGACCTGGCTCCATCATGGGTACCCTCAAACCATGACTCCTCTCACTTCCGGGATCTGCCCACAAGGGCCAAGTAACTCTACTCAGAAATGCAGGAGAGTTAAAACCTGGGCCAAATTTTGACCAATGAAAGATAAGAGATGGGCTCTTGGATCATAGCGGTTTCATCTAGCGCGTCAGGAAACATCCAACAGGCATGACTGAGCAACTGGCAATGTTTTCTTCTGTAGATGCGGCCAGATTGGCAACACACAACCTTGCGTTTGCTCTCCTCCTTCCTCGCCTCACTTCCCTTTCCTCCTTATTTTCGTGCCCTAGGATTGTGTCCTTTAAGAAAGTATTGGTAAGCATTGCTTCATGCTCTGTCTCCGAAGGAACCATGGACAATTGGCACTACGAGAGGCTCTGGAACGCAAATATTCAGGATGGGACGTTGGAACTGGATTTACCATCTGGAAGCAACAGGGGCCCCAGTACGGATGGTAAGCAGGGTCCTGTGTGGCATATAGTGGCACTGTAATTTCTAAAAGCTTCACGTGCAGCTCATTAGAATGAGATGCAGGTGGAAAGCAAGGCTTAGGGAGGTCAAGTGGCTGCTGAACTCAATTGATGTGGGAAAATGATAACCATAAGGATTATGGGCTTAGATGGAGTCTTCTGACAGTATTGGAAGTTTTGCATAAAGCAGAGGTCCCCAACCTTTTTGGCACCAGGGACTGATTCTCCTATGAGAATCTAATGCCTGATGACCTGAGGTGGTGATGCTAGCGCTGGGGAGCGGCTGCAAATACAGATGAAGCTTCACTCGCTCACCTGCCGCTCACCTCCTGCTGTGCGGCCTGGCTCCTAACAGGCTATATGGACTGGTCCTGGTCTGTGGCCCGGGGGTTGGGGACCCCTGGCCTGACTGGTCCTGGTCCGTGGCCCGGGGGTTGGGGACCCCTGGCCTTAATCAAATGATCGACTCAGAGAAGCTAAGCTGTTTGCCATAAAGCAAATGATCGACTCAGAGAAGCTAAGCTGTTTGCCACTGTAAGGCATGCTTTGTGAAAGCTTTAAGACCCTCCCATCTCTTGACAGCCACAAGACAGATGCTGAAAATTAGGCTCGGGATCTGATTTTAAGGGTGGAAAAGCTGAAAAGAACGCTAAGGGCACAGCTACACAGGCGTCCAAGTCCGAGTCAGGGCTCTGATAGGGAAAGGATTTGACCTTGCGATGTGGGGGAACAAGCCTGAAAATCGCAGACCCCCAAATCTCCCTAAATCCTCTGGCTGGTAGAAGCACCTCTTTTCCCCTTTGTCAGAATAGAACAGCCACTCTTGGCCTGGAGACCAAGCAATGACCTCCTTGCAGCAGGTACCTTGCAAGATGGTGCTTATTCTCGTGACAATAGTCTACATTGAGACGCTAGAAATTTTTTGGTGCAATATTGAGAAAGGAAATAGAAGGCCCAGAGACGTGCAAATATTAGAGTCATAAGACCTGGGATCCCACCACCTGACTAAGCTTCCCGGGATGGTCCAGAGAGCATTCCCTTCATTGAGCCAGGAAGAGAAGCCCTGGGTGCAAGGGGAGAGCACCAGCATCTTTGCGAGGTGCGGTGGTGGTGATCCTCTGAAGGCCGAGTTCAATGGCGGGGAAATTGACTCTTTAATGTCAATGGGAGTCAATGTAATGGCAAATGCCAGCTGGCCTACTAAGTCGTGAGAGACAAAGGGGACATAATTACCATATGGACAGCAAGTCTAGAGTAGCTATCAGGGTGCCTTGAACCATAGGTATCTATATTAGATCATGGTATCACTAATGATGAGATTGAAGGAGAGTTGACATTTAATTTTTTGAAATCAACAGTGTAAGAGCTACTACAATGGAAAATGCCATGTTTGCTCATAACCTGGAGCCCATTGATCGAAAAGGAGGCGGGGTTCCTTTGAAGAAAGACCATGCGATGCCACTGAGTCATAAGATTGGTCATGAACAGCAGCGATCCAACGTGCGAGAGAAGTGATACTTTCAGGACCAGGCTCTAGCAGGTCCAGAAGGAAAGGTAAGTCATCTAAACAGGTGGCCAAATGGCCTGGATTTTCATCTCGCTCACCTCTGGTGAAGTTCTTCCTCAATTGTACCTATAGCCTGCAAGGAGAGTTCCCCATGACAATCTG